GCACTGGCCCAGGAGCAGGTCCCACACCGCCACGGCACCCGATGTCAGCACGGCTGCGGCCAAGGCGCCCCTCACGTCACCCTCCAGGTACCTGGGGACACAGACACAAGGGTCACACGTCCGCAAAACCACCACTTCTGAAACCAGCCAGAGCCCCAGCTACAAAATGAACACGGAGATTCCAGCTGACTGCAGGAAGCCAGGCTGCGTTACGTGTCACGTCTGAGAACAAAGGACGTCAACGCAGCCCTCCCTCAGCCTCAGAACACACTCAAAAACCACTCTGCAAGCCAAGATCTAGACCCACTGGAGTCTAAGCACATCCTCACAGCCTCTCATGAAGTCTTAAACAGCCTCTCTCCAAAAGGAAGAGAAGGGGAGGAAAAGGTCGCCCGGCTGCACGCAGCTGCTTAGCGTAAATGAATGTGGCAGAGCGTCTCTAACAGCACAGCTCTGCAACAGCTCGAAGGTTGGGAACATCTCGATTGAAGGCATTTTCTCAGGGGGTTCCCCTGTGAGCCCAGTTCCAGCACACCCACAGTGACTGGTGGTGGGGAGGGAAGATGAAAGCACAAGGACACGAAGACTCACGCAGAGCCCCGGCAGCGCAGCCCCTCGCTGTGAGCCCGGGGTCAGCGCACAGGCTGGCGCAGGAAGCGGGCAGGAAACAGCCAACACCCTCACGCTGCTCCGGCCCCTGGAGCCTCCCGTCCAGGGGCACAACGGATGCAGCCCTTTATCACTGGCAAGATGGCAAATGGATCCCTGCCAGCAGCGCTGCCCATGGAGACATCCCCACCCCAGAACATCTTGAAGGGCTCCGGGAGCGGAGCCCCGGTACCTGCCTTCCAGTGTGCCCAGGCGGGAGGGAGGAGGCCAGCACCCCCCTGCTCCTGGCTGTGCTGGGGTTGAACGCCACCACTCGGAACGCAGGGTTTCCACAGGACTCACTCTCTTTGGCGTGTGGATGGCTCAAAACCACAAAGAGGAGGCCCTGGTGCACAGAGGAAAAATACATCACTAAAAACAACAGTGGGAGGGGAAAAACCCAGAGAATTTTCCAACAATTAATTGCTACATTCTCTGTATAACCAAGGCCCCATGGACAGTGATGCATTATTTGTACTGAATAAAACAGGAATGGTTTACTTTCCTTATCAGGTTAGATAAAACCCAAAGCAGCTGCTGACTGATAAGGGCTGATGCAATGCAGCAGAATGACAGCTCAGTGAGCTGGTGGATTTATGCACTGATCTTCCTGCCTGAAAAAGCTAAGCTTGCTGTAGGGTGAAATTTCTGGGCCTCATTTTAATCCCTAAAAGCTTAAAATTTAACAAGAATTCCACAAAAAGCAGCACAGCTGAAACCTGCAGCTCTCAGAAGAGCAACAGGCCAGCATGGAATAACCTGGGACAGATATTCCAAGGAAGTCTCCAAAGAGTCTGACTCAAGCCATCATTATTGGACAAGACATTCTTGTCCCAAAAGGTTAAATGCCCACTGAAAACAAATCCTTGACCAACGACAAAAGTCCATCAGGAATCACAGCACAGGGGGAAGCAAGTGGGAAAGAATCATCAGTACAAATGTTGAGGTTGAACAGTTAATGCCCTCAGGGTGCACATAAATAATAATCACATTGATTTTCTGACAACAGCAGCTTCCCACATGTGGAATGGAAGAGGCTTACCAAGCACCAGGGCTGGGCAACAGCTCTCCTGCTTCCCCCCTGCAAGGTGCTGCTGCTCTGCAATGTCATTTGATGCATCACTCCCATTTTACCAGCACACAGCAGAAAGCCAGGAATTCCAGGCAGCCAGCGGGGCTTATTTCTCCTGGTTAACCCATCTGCCTTGCAAATAACTCCAGAGTATCTAAACAGAGTTGGTATTTCAATCCACTCTAGAAACCCTCATCCCTTAAGAACCCACCCCAGTTGGTCAGTGCAGTATGTGCCATGTTTCATGTACATACGGAGTCGGAATAGGCTCGATGGCAGATGGAAGCTGGGTAGGAATAACCAACGTGCATCTTCTTCAGGAGCTGGCCTGTTCTCAGATTCCTGCAGTTGGTGAACAGACAAATTCTGACTGCATTTCCATCCTCTACATGTTATTTCCCACTCACAGCTAGGAAACCACCACTGTGCAATACGGACAGAGCCTTTGTTCCACATAACCCAAACTAAGAGAGGAGACCACAGGAAAAGACATAACGAATATGATGCAAGTGGAGTTACAGCTTCACAGCTCATTCACCACCTTCCCCACCACACACAAGCTCAAGTGCCAGACCACAGGCCTGCTGACAACTGCCATTTCACAGGCCAAGCAGTAGCCAGCCAACACCCCTGCACTGTGCTGCAGCCAACTGTTCCAGCCAGCAACCCCCCGTGAGCTGAACCAGTTAACAGCAAAGGAATCACTGACCAAACGACAACGCTGTTCACTGCAGTGGTGCCAACCAGGGCATCCCTCATTCCTTCCACTTCAGCAAAAGCTGAAACGGTCTCTTCAGGGGCCATCAAAGTCTGTCCATCCCTGCTCCTGAACAGCAGATTAACAAGTGAGAAGGGGCAGTCAAAACAGTGAGTGTTCTGTGCTCAGCACATCTCCAGAAAGAAGAGGAACCCAACACTCCTCTAAGAGTGAGATCCAAGACGTATCTTCACTGTTCCTCCCCCTGCCACACAGAGCACCCCAAACCCAGCAGACTCACCTTCCTGTCTCTGAAAAGGACACTATTTCCACGTGCTGCTCCTGCACGGTCCTGCTGCTGCTGACCAGCCTCCTGTCCTTCAGCCCAAGAACAGCTTTTATGTTTCCAGTTCTCACTAGTGATTGCTTGAATGAGTCATTCTCAGAAGAATAAAGCAGGAGCCTAAATTAAGAGAAAGTCACACCTAATGAGAGGGAAGCAGAACTCAAACATGCCATAGCATACAAAAATGAGCACGTTTAAACAGTCTGCACCTCTAGGGGTGGATAAGCAAGTCTTTAGAGCTGATTTATAGAAATTCCTTCCATTTTCCAAGTGTTAAAGCAACTGAGAAAGCAATACATTAGTAAGAGATCATTTCAGCTGCCACACCAGAGGAGAGTTAAGCTGTGGCTACCTGGGGTGCAAAAAGCTGGTAAGAAATAAATACAAAACCTTATTTCTCCAATCTCCAAGTCTCCCAGTGCTACACACACGAGATTGCAGGAGTCTGGCAGAGGAACAATCTGTATTACAGGAATCTAGGACAACAAAACAAGAATCCAGTGTCACCCACAATGTCCCTTGGACTTCTCTGCCATTTTCTAGAGTGATTCAAGTAAAATGATACAAAGCAGAGCTGATTTTCACATCCCTCTGAGGAAGCACACTTAGATTAACAGCTGAACTCTGGGCTGTTTGCCTAATTAAACCACCTGTTGATGTAAGTGACAAAAAGCATCTCCAGGGATGTAAGGGGAAAGCGTATGAGCCAGTGGCTGAAGTGCAGTCACCATTCAGTACGACAAGAACTGAATTCCAGCCCATGCAAGCTACTGGCCTCCTCCATCAGCACTGCAAATCACTCTCCTCTGCTGCTTAGTGGAATGAACAGATTTATGCCACCTAAAGAACATGCCTTGCACTCAAGAGCGCAAACTCCTTGTTTTGTGGGAGCTAACACGTGGGACAAGAAAGCTGCCCTGAACTCCAGAAGGACGGACTGTGTCGGTACCTCTCCGAGCTGCCACGTGTGGACCCTTGCCCAGCGGTCAGGCCCCAGGGGTTTCCACAGGGAGACAGAGCTCTCGCAGGCTGTCACCACACAGAGCTCTCTGCAGCCCGCTGCCTCCCACCACGCGGTGCTCACATCCACGGCGCAGGAACTCGAACAATCCTGCCCAAAAGAAGACAGAGCTGGTTTTCTCCTGACAGACGTGGTTGTCTAACCTGGAGGGGCAGCCTGAGGACAATGCTTCACGTTCAGTGTGGTGAGAGTTTGAGGCTGAAACTTTATGCTTATGATGTTTAATTTTGAGTAAAGTGCCAGTGCAGCACTGAGGGGAACGGGCTTGGTGGGTTGCACCCTCAGAGCAAATACAGTGGCTCAGTTCACAAGAGTCACTTGTCATTTAAAAAGACAGGGACTCTGCAGAAGCCTGAGCTGGGGCAGGACTTGCTGCGTTGGTTAGTGCCCAAACGGTGACAAAAGGCCACAGGAGCCACAGGGCAGGCAACAGGGGTGCAAGGGCTGCAATCATCTTACCTGGGGCTGAAGTAAAATGCAGCCAGTGTTTAAGACTTTTGCACATGTTTAGAATTCCTTATTCAGAAGCAAACACTGAAATCACCAGTCAGAGGAGCTGAAGAGCAATCTAACCTCTCAGCATGCTTTACCACAAGACACAACTGATCGAATTAGACAGCAGCTACCCATTCTGCCGTTTTTATTACATTTTTGTTAAACTCAGTATTAAAGAGCTGCCACTGACTCATTAAACAATGATCCGATGTTATCCCACCTTTAGCTTTGATACAAGCTGCAAGCTCTCTTCTCTCAGGCCATCAAGCAGTACCGGAGCTGACTGTTCTGCTACAGCTTTTTCCTGCAGAGACAAGTAAAGAATGAGATAATTCAACTGTGAAATTGCATTCAGCACCTGCAGGAACGAGGCAGAAGTGTGAATGCACTCTGCATGCTGCTGCTGGAGAGCCATGGGAGGAGCACCTCTTTCTGTACTTGCATGTCTGAAAACTAAGAAATCCCAGACAAGTCATTTACTGGTTTCACCTGAAAATTCTCTCTTACCACCACTTACATCTCAGCCTCCAGAAACAAGTCATTCTCTCAGCACCCATCCCACATATGAGTCATTCCATCTCCTTTACCAAATCCTAGCTGAAAACGTTCCTTGAGAGGGACCAACACTTTGTGGGTACTAGAAACTTTGTTCAAATCAAGCAGGATGTTAAAGACTTTGCTCTTGACACCGAAAGGCCTTAGAGAAGACCCAAACATGCAGTAAGTCAGCTACAAGACAGCATGCAGGGCTAGCAGCAAAGAGGTCTTTCCACTGAAGCCAGGTGAGACTCTGGGAAAGGGGATATGCCCACAAACCCACTGGGTGAGCACCCTGGACAAAGAGGACCAGCTTGTTACCTGCTCAGGAGAAGCTCTGCCGGATCCCTGCTGTTTGCTCTCGGAGTGCTGGTGCTTCTCCAAGGCCACAGCCCCATCGCAGTTATTACTGGGACCTCTTTCAGCTGCTGCAGGAAACACTGGACCTTGCTCCTCCTCTTGTCTAGCAGGTCCTGCACCACAGTGGTCTAAGTGCAGTAGGATGGCAGAGCCTTTGCACCCTCCATCCTGCACGCCCTGGGAAGATGCTCTGTTGGAGGAATGCAGGCTCGGAGGGATGGAAGGTGTCTTGGGGGACACCTCACTGTGCACTGAGGGTGACACAGCCGGGGTTGCACCCACGGCAGGGAACACACATGAGGAAATCTGGGACCCGGACTGAGTGGGAGCACCAGCTAAGACAGTCCCCATGGGAGTAAACAGCAATTCGTGGGTGGAAAGTTCCTTCTTGGGAGCTGGGCTTTCTGCGGGAGGTGAATTGGGCAACGCGGTTTTGAAAGGCGAAGTCAAATCACTCCTGAGGCCTTTTTCTTCCAGATTGGTTTGTGCACCCTGTGTGTCCTCTGATGCCAGCCCATCTCCAAACACACTCGGAACAAACACCTCCAAGTCATTCATGGGGGAAGATTCTACTCTGTCAAGTTTTAGTAGTCCAAATTCCTCATCAGGTAAGTGGAAGTCAGTGACACCCAGCCTGGGGGCCAGCCACTGGAAGCTGCGGAAGGAGAAGAGAGAGCCACAGGTATCGAGGTCCACAGCAGGGAGGCCAAGAGAAGGACCCTCAGGACTCTCTGGACCTTTTGCCACGTGCCGTCCTGCTCTCTGTCTCGCAGCGCAACGCAGGGAGCGGCGCAGGGGGACGTTAGCTGCGGGGAGCAGCTCGGCCCTGCAGGCTCCGGGTACCTGCTCATTCCCCACAGGCTCCGCTGGCTCTCCATCAGCCTGGCACACATGGAAGTTGGCTTCCAGATCTCCTGCGTGGATGGGAGAAGCTCCGTTCCCTGGGGGCAGAGAGCTGCTGTTCTGGAGTGGCCTTTGAGACTGTTCTAACGGAGTCTTACGGCACTTGTCCAGCACTTGGCTCCCCCCCGGAGGAGGATCCGCACTCGTTGTCTCTACAGCACCAGCCACTCCTGTCTCTGCAGCCCCAAGAGCTGCAGCAGCAGAGAACTTTCTCTCATCTGAAGGTGGTTTTCCAAGACCAGCATGACAGTTTTCCTTTTGGCTCTGACACTCACTCGTCAGCAGACTACTGCCTTCCCTCGCCATGCCAACATCCAGGCTCTCGATGAGTTCTGGTGACACCAGGAGCGCGGGGGGGTTGCTGGCAGACTTTCTTCTTCCTTTCTGCTTCCTCTGTGATCGTCTCCGATCTTGCCCTGTGCTAGTGATACTGCTCTGGGAAATGGATCCAAGGGAAGCGCTGCTGCCGCTGGAGGCAGGAAGAGATCCCTGAGGACTACCCAAATTTGCTGGATCATTTTCTGCACCAAGACAGGGGAACGGCACAACCCCCAACTCCAAATAATTTTCAGCTCTTTCTTGGGAGGGCTGATCCGAATTTGCATCTCTGGGCTTGCACTTACTTCGCTGACCCTTCTTGCTCCTGCCCAGCTGGCTGAGGATTACAGCATCGAGGTCCACCTTCCTCTGGCAGCTGGACATGCGCCGAGTTGTCCTGACGTAGTATTCAACCGGGAAGAGAAGCCCTTCAACCACTGTGCACGAGCTCAGGGCGCTTCCAGGAGCTGCCGCCTTTTCCGGAGGAGAAAGTCTCGACTGAGTTTCAAGCTGTTGATTCTCCAGCAGTTCTTCAACACCACCCACAGCAAGAGCTGTCGGAAAGGGATCTAAGCTACTAGTGTCACTCTGATTCCCTTCGTGGCTTTTGGTCTCGTTAGTTTCAGTCTTATTTCCGTCAGGAGACAATACTTCATTTTCTGACATTAAATCCAAGAGCCTACATAATTCCCCCTGATCTTCACACGTACTCTCACCAGACGTTTGTCTTATTATACTGGGGGATTCTTTTCCTCCATCACCACTGACGTCACCTAAAGCAGAGTCTCTGTTCTCTGAACATGGCTGTGCAGGCTCAGGGTCGTCAGATGTGGGCACAGCACCCTGGGATTCAGGCTGCCAGACGCTGCTGCAGCCCTGCAGGGCATGTGGGAAGAGCTCAGGTGCTCCTGGCGGGACAGAGGCTTGTGTGGCTCCCGATGCTGCACTGGGAGGAGTGAAACCGTTCTCTTCTCTCTGCACATGTGCTGGTCCTGCCGCTCTCGGCGCAGTTTCCTCAGTGGCTGAGACACTGCTTTGCCTGAAGACTGGTGACCGAAGTTCCCCTGTACTGGCAACTTGATTTGTCACCGTTTCACCAGTGCTGCTTAGCAGCACCTCACACACCGATCCCCTGTCCCCTGACACCCGAGCCTTCGCCCGTCTCCTCAGCCTCAGCAAGCTTCTGGAGGTTTGGGGTTTCTTCTCCTCAGGGGTGGGCCTGGAGATTCCAGCACACAGGATTTCCTGGCTAGCCTGTATGCTTTCTGCCTGTGAGCTGTCCTGCAGGCCCCCCTCATGGCTGTAGAACTGGGGAACATGCTTAAATGCATCAGCTGTTTGCTCCTGTGCGCCAAGATCGGAGCAGGGTTTAGCCTGTAACTGAGAGGTTTCGTGTTTGTCAGCACTGGGAGGTTCCGTATCTCTACAACCTGTGGGAAAGAATGTCACGGATGTGAAGTACTCCCAGCAAAGCCCCATCCCTGAAAACATCACACGGTAAAGCCAGTAGAACTCTTTGGGGAGTGAAAGGCTGGGATCTTGCAGCCG